GGGATTTTTCCCCCTCTCCGGGGTCGGATTTTTCCCTCTCTCCGGGGTGGAATTTTTCCCTCTCTCCGGGGTGGGATTTTTTCCCCCTCTGGGCTGCGATTTTTCCCCCTCTCCAGGGTGGGATTTCCCCTTCTCCAGGGTGGGATTTCCCCCTCTCCTGGGTAGAATTTCCCCCTTTCCAGGGGTGCAGTTTCCCCATTTTGGGAATCTTCGGCTCCTCCGAACACCCCCCCACCACAATTAACGCTGGAGAAGCCGCCGGGGGGGATACCAGAGCTAGAAGGGGGGGGCGAGCGTGCGGTGCCCGGAAAACCCCTCGCGGTGCCCGGAAAACCCCTCGCGGTGCCGGAAAAAAACCCCTCGCGGTGCCGGAAAACTCCCTTCCCGCTCACCTTCGGCTTCTCCTTCCGGCAGACGAAGGGGCCCGGGGGGGGAGAACTGGACGCCAAGAGGCGAGAGCAGAGACCTGTTAATCCAACAAGCTGCTCAGTGCCTTAGCAAGCTGGTTCAGATCGCTCCCAGAGCCAAAAGGAATTTCATTCTCGACCAGGTAAACTTGGGAAAAATCCCTCAAAACGCCGGGAAGTTCCCGCCCGCCTCCCTCATCCGTTTACCGTTCGTTAACGTTCGTTTTCTTTGCCCTCCAGTGCAACGTCTACAATTCGGGGCAGCGACGGAAGCTCCTCGCCTTCAAGGGGTTTTCCCGGAAGGTGGTGGTGATCGTTCCTAACGAGGAAGACTGGAAGAAGAGGCTGGAGCTGCGGAAGGAAGCGGAAGGGGAGGACGTTCCCGAATCGGTGATGCTGGAAATGAAAGGTGGGATCGTCAAAGGGTGGAATGGCCCCGGGGGGGGGGAAAAAAAACCAAAATCATCGGCAGCGACTGGGGTTTGCCGAGGGCGGGGAAATGGCGGAAAGCGGCGGCTTCGTTAAGGGGTTGTTTTCCCGCTTTAATTTCCGCCGTAGCTAATTACTCGCTGCCGGAGAAGAACGATTACCTTGACGAGGTCATTTACGGCGAGCTGACGAAGGAGGAGGCTCAACCCCTGGTCACCAAATACAAGGAAGAGGCCAGAAAACTTCTCCCCCCCTCCGAGAAACGAGCG